AAGTACACTGCTGAGGGGAGCAGCGGGTGGGTCAGGAGAGGTCTGCCACGCCATGTGGATCTCCTCTGGGGCGTGCGGGGATCGAACTCATGCAGAAGTGACTTTAGCTTCTTAGTTCTGCGCTTTAACCTGCTGCGCCACCAGGGAGGGCCACCAATTTGGAACACTTTTAAGTAAAACATTGCTGCTAAGTTAGTGTCACTTGAAATAAATGGGACTGTCGTCTGCTCATGAGGTAGCCACCACAAGGCCCTGGGCCCCTGTTCACAGCATTTCTCACAAAGCCTTTTGGGCAGACGCAGCCTGTTCCAACCGAACTTCCCTAGGAGTGGGCAAGGTGGGAAGCCAGAGGAGGGACAGTGTCTGTGTTGCCATGTGGGCCTGTCAGTGCTCAGAGGAGGCACCTCCAGACCTTGGCGGGTTCTGCTCTGAATTATGGGTACCTACACCCTCACCCCCAGGGGGGCAGGAACACCTGTAGCATCAACCTGTGCTTGGATGGGTTCTGGGCGCAAGCCCCTCCCAGCCCTTGGTACTCCCCAGGGCTGGACTCACCAATCTTCATCTGGAAGTTGTTGAAGGAGTGCTCGTTGATGTACTTCATTTGGTCCATCAGCTTCATGGCAAAGTCGGCCAGCGCTTTGATATGGGTCTTGCCCACCTTGTCATAGGTGGAGTCGTTGAGGCCTGAGGCAGCCATGTAGGTGCTGCCAATGGTCTTGATCTTTTCCAGCTGCCGAAACCGATCCTCGCTGATGATCTGCACAAGAAGCCAAACCTGTCACTCCAAGTCTGGGGCACCCAGGCCAACAGGGAAGTGTGGTGGGGTGACCCCAGATGTCTGCCCAGTTTTCACAGGAAGCTGGTCTCCACCATCAACTTTGTGTGAAGCCCCAGTGACCCCCAGCTGAGCTGGGTCTCCTCCAGTGCTCATGGGCTGGATAGTGACCCTTATGTCCACCCCATACCCAGAGCCCCTGGGATCAGGTCACCTGTTCCCACTAGACCTTTGGACCCCAGAAAGGCCTGGTGGCCCTTTGCTGGCTCAAGTTCCCAGCCCACCCAGGCAAAATCCTTTCTCTTTGTCCAGTGGGACACCTTTCTATCTCCAGGACCTGCTGGAAGCCTTCCACACCCATTTTAGCCAACACCAGCTACCCCACTACCTGGAAGTCTTGTGGGCTGCTTCAGACACGAGGGCCCAGCACCAGCATCGCTCTCCTCCCTGCTGCCTGTGCCTCACACAGTCCCACTGCGGCTGCCCCTCACACTCCTCCCAGCGAGCTCCCAGGATCCAGACTGCCCCTTCGAGCTCCATGTCCCCAGTGCCTGGCACGCAGTCAGTGCTCAACAAGGGCTTAATAAACGAATGGGAAAGGTCATTGTTTTTGCCTCTGCTTGCTGTTCTGCGCCTTGCATCTTTGTCCTGCCTCCTCTTTGGGTGTCTCAGTGTCCTGGGCACAGACATGGGCTGTCCCTGCCTCAGTCCTGTCCCACCCTCTGTAGCACCAGAGGAATGATGGCAAGTGTGGGCAGCTGGTGAGTGAGGCTGACAGGCAACTCCAAGTTTAAACAGCCTGGTCTGAAGCCCCTGTTTTGCCGCTTACTGGCAGTGACCATGGGCATGTAGATTTATAACTCAGTTTCCTCATCTGTAATAAGGTGAGGTGCTGGGAAGAAAATGTATTATTCAGGGGGCCCAGAACAGGGACTGGCCACCAGCACCAGTATTTGTATCTGAAAGGGGGGCCCTTCCTGTCCCTCCCACTCAGAAGCCTGCCCGCACCTCGTCAAAGTCCGCGATGATCTCATTGAGCAGCCGCAGGCACTCGACGCCCTCGTTGTTGGCCTCCAGCTCCACATAGAACTCCGAGAAGTTGGCGATGGAGGCAAACATGACGGCCACGCACTCGCAGGACTGATAGTAGAGCTCGTCGTTGCGCCGCTCGCGGGCCAGGAAGTGGGCGGCCACGTCCTTGGGCAGGATGTTGTGCAGCAGCCGCCGGTTGTAGGCCTGCAGCTCCTCCATCTCCTCCTTCTCCTCTGTGGCCTGGCACAGAGCACCCGGTCAGAAAGCGACATGTGACTGACTGAGAGACGACACCGGGCCCTGCCTGGTGGCACAGAGGGCTAAAGCACAGCATTGCAAGCCAGCGGCAGCCGCTTCAGTGCAAGTTGAATCCCCAGCCCCGGAGGTGACCCACATGGCGCGGCAGACCTCTCCTGACCCACCCGCTGCTCCCCTCAGCAGTGCACTTCGCCAGTCGTCCTGTTCTGCTCTCTACTCTGCTTCTGGTGAATCCTCTCACCACTCCTCTCACCTCTGGCCTATACCCCAGTTCTGTATGCATAAAAAAAAAAAAAAAAGACACCATTGGCCCAAGTATCCATGCATGCCCAAGTTTCAGTGAGCACCGTCTCTACTTCCAGGTTTCCTATGAAGAACATGTGACTTGCCATCAGAAAAGAGATTTAAGTGTCTGGTTCTCCCCTCCCTGCCTTTTAGAAAGTGATGCATATGAGGGTCACTTTCTCAAAGGAGGGAAAACAGGTCCCAGGGGAGGAGTAATAGATTAAGTAAAAAGGATCATTCAGAAAGTACCCCCCAAATGGTCCGCTGGCTACTGAAAAGCTCTTCGATTTTCCATCTTCCTCTTTAGATCAGGAAATGCAATTGGAAAAGCAGCTTGATAAACACCATTTTAACAGACTGACCTCACAGGGAAAATGGATAGAAGCCCTGCCCAGTCTCCCAGGTTCCCAGGCTCTCTTGGAGGGCATCAAATGGCCCTCCAAGGCCAGATGCCGTCAGGTGGGGCCACGGGGTGCCCCTAGTGCCAATGGGACCTCACCCTTGACTTTCTCCCTGGTTTGAGTCCTGAGTCTGAGCAATTAATTGGTCAAGAGGCCAGTGGCAGCCCACAGGCTGAGTCACAGAGGTAGGAAGGTACTAACGTGCGACAAGCAGCATCTGGCCAGTGTTGATGGGATGCCGGGCTACAAGCCTGAGGGTGACGGCCTCCTCCCCCCCGATGGCAAACAGCAGCCCCTGGAGCCGGGAGTGGCTGTGTTGGCAGGCAGGTAGGCAGGCAGGGTCACTAGGGCCATTTAAGAGATCTGCCAGCCGCCCTAGGCGTTATCTAACTAAATGTGAACATCTATTTAGTTGCAACTAGAATCTCCCAGGTCCTGGCTCTCCGGGTGGCTGGGCTTTGTGGACCTGGCAGGGCTACTCCACTCAGCCCTGGGGGGGCACAATCTGCCCTCTGCAAACTGGAGCTGGGAAAGACACAGATGGGGATAAGGGGCAGAATCTTAAAAAGAGGCAGCATTTGCGCTTCCTTTGTTTCCAGCATTTTGAAGCCTCTAACACACAGAGGCAGCCATCTTGGGAGGCTTCCTGGGGTGCACGGAGGAGGTGGGGAGTGTGTGAGTAGAGAAGTGGAAGGACACTGGCTCCAGATCCCTAGAGCCTGATCAGCATCTAGGAGAGAGCGGGGGTGGGGGGGCTGGGAGTTTTCCCAAAGGAGTGGGGCACAGGAGAGCAGCAGGAGGCTGGAGGTAGCTCAGAGGATATAGCCGCGCACCGGAGAACTAGCTCCCGCCCAGCTCAGGGCTTGCACGGGGCATTCTGCACAGAAAACATGGAGACCTCAGGGGGATCTCAGCTGAATTTCATCTACACACCCAAAGCGGGGGCAATCACATGCCCCCATCTACACTAGCATCCAAGCAAATCCAGGGCCTCCTGCACCTGGGGGTAGTTTCAGCAGTAATTGAAGCTCAGGCTGGAGGTGGTCTAGGCGCATTGCGGATGAGCCTGAGAAGTGGCTGAGTGATAGGGCCAGCCAGGGAAGACGAGGGGCCTGGCTAAGAGGCCCTGCAAGGCCCCTCGCTGGAGGTCTGAGGTTGCCCACTTGAAGATCAGGCTTTCTCATACATGCCCTTGGGTGCCCTCTCCTGGACATTCTGCGGCAGCCCAGGGCTGCTGCTAGCCCCTGGAGGCCCTCTGCATCCTGAACTCCAGTGGACTTGACCAGGGTCAGGGCACAGTCCCCTGGCCAGGGTTCCCGTCAATGGTGTCCCTTCCATCTATCCTCCCATGGAGAAGTCTCCAGGTCACGTCAAGTCCCGCTCAGAGGCCTGTGGTGGCGGTTCTTGCACTCAGGCCTCCACAACACAGGCCCTTTGCTCACTCTGCCACTTTCACCTCCTCCCCCTCCAGCTCCCAGCTCCCCGCAACCCCCTCCCTCCCCACCAAACTGGGTCTATACCTGCCTCTATCCTTGCCTCTGGAGGTGCAGAGTAGTACTCAGACAGCGTTTGACTTAAGGGCACACTCCCAGGCCCACTGGAGCCCCAGCACTAAGTGGGTTCATCTGGGGAAAAGTGCCTGGGTTTTGGCTCTTGGCCCCAGGAAACAGGGAGCAGACCTCGTGGGATACAGGGTATAGGTCAGTTGGGATGAGGCCTAAGCCAGACACCTGGTCAGTACAGGACTGGGTTATGTCCAGTCCAGGAGAAGCACATTCTCACACCCGTTTCAGCACCAGGGTCACTCACCTGCAATTTCCAGAGGAAGTCGAGGCGGGCGGTGGACTCCACTTGCTGGGCGTGCAGATACAGGGCCAGCACGAACACCGAGATGATGATGGGTGTCACTACCTTCAGCGCCACCTTGGTCGCATGCTCGGGACTGCAAGAGGGCAGTAGATGCCCTGGCACCTTGTGGAACCTCCCAAACTCCCTCAGACTTTTTAACTTCCTCCTGCTACCACGCCGCCTCCTCCTCCTCACCCTTCTGCTCAAACTTTGCCTAAGGAAAGGCAATCTCCTGGAAGCGTTCCCAGCTGGCAGCCCATCTTGGCTTCTGCTCACACCTGTAGCTCAGACACCTTGCCTCCTCTGCTGAGGCCTTACTCCTCCATCACTGGGGGGTTTTCCTCTGGTAGCCTCAAGGGATGAAGTCAGCCCTTCTACAAGGCAGTATCGACCAGGTCTCTGTCCCTGGGGTACAGTAACAGGGAGCCAGGCAGGCTGTACTGGCCGTTTCTGGGCAACCTTGGGCAAGTCTCAACCTCTCTGAGCCTTAGTTTCATCTTCTGCAAAATGGGATAACAATACTCACGTGTCAAGAGTATGGTAGAAGTCCAAGATACTGTACATAAAGTATTCAACAAAGTCCTTGACAGAGGGTAGCATGCCAGTTGTTGGTGGCTACTGTTGTCTAATTATAAATGTGATGACATTACTAACAAGTGCCCTAAGGTAAGCAGCTTTGCAAACCCTGCTTTCTGTGGCGAACCCAAACCTGAGCTTGCAGGGTCCCTGCCCAGAAGCAGCCCCTACAGTCTGCAGGCCTCGGCTGCTGCTCCGCCCGGGGGGGGGGAGGGGGGGGGAACGGGCCACCTGTTTCCTGTTCTCCTTTGCCTGCATCTCACACACGCTCTGGGAGAACCGTGAGGCTAGATGCTTTCAGATGAGGCTTGGGGGATGGCCTGCAGGTCTTGAGGACTCTGGGTGCTGAGTCTGGAGCTTGTGGAGCCGCGGGGGTCACAGAAGAAGGCATTTACCCAGCTTGGACTCCGGTGCGGAGAGAGGGCTCCTCGCCCTCCCGGCTGCCTCCTGCACTGCCCACCCTGCCGCAAAGCTCCCCTCCCAGCTGGGCACTCTGCCTTCTCTGCTCAGCCCTGAGCTGCTGGCCTCTGACTGCTCCGTGCCAAGGCAGGGGGCTCGGAAAAGAACATTAACTCACCACTGGGAGGTCCCGTTGTTGTTGCTGAAGTCTCTGCAAATACAAGTTGGGCAGGTGTTCAGGGCATGTGTAGAGCCTCCAGGCCTGCTCTGCTGTCACCCCTCGCCCTGCTCGGTACCCTCGGCCCACTCTCCCACCCACGCTGCTCTGCCTCCTCCACGCCTGCTCTGCACCCCCGTATATCCCAGCTCTGCTGCCCTTGCCTACTACTGCTGCACCCTACCCCCGCCCCCGGCCAGCAGCCGCTGTGTCTGGGGCCCTTGTTATTGCATCCATGGCCCCTAGCTTGTCCACTGAGAAAGGACACCCACAGGACGGGCAGAAGCCCAGCCCCAACTGGCACCCTATGTCCATGACCTCAAGTCCCCCAGCCCTCACCTGGGACCCTTGGGCACCCCCTACACGCCCACCAGGCCAGTGTCCCCCCCACCTCTCCTGCCCCAGTCCCTGCAGGGATGGGAAGAGCAGGGCACCTCACTGCCCAGCATGGTAGTCACGAGCCACATGTGGCTACTGAGCCTTAACGTGTGACTACAGCAAGTTACAATGTCCTGCAAGTGTAAAATTTATATCAGTTATACCCAATGAGTATAGGGAAATGCAAACTATTCCACTGTAACTATATATTTTGGGTATATATAATATTTTGGATATAGTGGTTAAATGAGAATGTCATTAAAATAATTGTAGGTTTGGCCTTTCCAAAACAGCTTCTTGAATGTTCTAAACCACATACGTGGGCTGGATTATTTACCTGTCGGGCAGTGCTCCCTTACAGCAGACTCAGGGCCTCCCAACCCAGAACCGCCTTCTGCTCGCTGCTGCAGCTTCCGCAGGAGGAGAGGAGAGCTGGGCTGGGCTTGGTGGGCGGGAAAGCTCCCCCCTCCTGCCCTGGTCCATGGCTGGAGAGGCCTGAGCTCCTCCCATCCTGCACTGCTCCCAACGCCACAGCCTCCCCACCCACAGCCCCACTCAGCCCCACTCAGCCGAGAGGGTCCTTGGGGAAGCTGACTTAGCACCTTCTGTTCTCAGCTGACCCTCCCTTCACAAAAAGTAACATTTCTGAAGCTCTGACAACTGCCCGTTTCAGCCCCCCGTGGGAGTACTCCCACTGTCCAGCTCGGTGCCTGGGAGGCAGCAGGCCCTCAAATGATTGAGCATAAATTAGTAGGTGGGTGGATTCCTTCCTCGATGCAGAGGAAGCAGTTTAGGGACACAGACCTAAAGCCTACTTCTCTGCATTTCCGGTGTGTGTACGTGTGTGTGCATGTGTACAGAGGGGCGTGATAGGGAAAACTTCACAGTAGGCAATTCACACATGTCGTACCACTATGGGCATGGTTATGATTTTACTATGGAAAAAACAAGGTTCAGGAAAATGACCCAGTGTGTGTCTAAGGCTCAATTTGACCCAAACCCTCACAAAGCTACCTCCTCCCGTGGACAGCTGACACGTATCCCGAGAGGCCAGGCTGCCTGCCCAGTCACCTACCCTGGCCCCCCACCCACCCACCACCTCCTGGGATGAGACGCAGCTGCCCACCATCCAGCCACAGCCTCTGAGCAGTGCGTGACCCCCCGGCCTTCCTTGGCAATCCTGCCCACCTCACCGGGCTGCTAAGAGGGTGAAAAGGGGTCATGTGTGTCTGAATGCCTAGTCCAAGGCCAGCCCTGAGTCACGAACAACCACGGCTGTTCCCTCTGCTTCCGCAGACGCTGTGGCTCAGCTCTGCTGGGCCTCGATGCTCTGAGTACCACAGGCAGTTAGGCTCAGTGGAAACAGCTCATCAGTGGCCTGGACAAGTGAGGAGCAACTCACTTGAGGTCTCAGGTCAGGAGTGAGGAGGAAACTGGCAGCAGAGGGGCAGTGGGACCTCGTCTACCCACCGCTGGGGAAGGGAAAGGGGGAAAGCAGTAAGATACTCTGTGCCTTGCCTCAGTGGTCAGAGCTGGACAGCGACGGCCACTCCCCTTCCATGCCCCTGCAGCCCAGGCCCCCAGCCTCCTGCTCTCCTCGCCTGTCTGCTGTGCCCAGCACCAGTTGGGGACAGGAGGAAGTGCCACGTACATGGCGTTGGCGGTGACCAGCAGGTCAGCATTGTCAAAGAGCGTGACACCGGGGACCTCGACGACAAGCACGTAAATGAGCTCGATGGCCAGCATGAGTGCCAGCTTCCCGATGCAGCTGACCTGCAGGAACACGGAGCAGGCCAGCAGGCTGAGCAGCACGCTGTAGGTGAAGTACTGTGGAAAGAGGGAGCACTTCAGCGCCCGCCCGCCCTCTGCAGCCCACCCTCCCGCATTCCTGCACCCCGAGTGGCCTCCTGGGAAGCTTCTGCAGAAGCGGCTGCTGAAATGAAGCAAACTTGTGATGCCAGGTGCAGGGCCCTGCTTCGCCATCAGGGGGTGCCGCTCCAGTCTGGCCAGCACCAGCAGTGGAGACCACGAAAGAGCCAAGAGGCAGGCTTCCCGGGGTTCACATGCACTCTCCATGTGGCCGGGGCCACGTGCACAGTCCCAGCCCCCCACCTGCGAACCCGCCTGCCGCATGGGCTCACTTTGACAATAACAAGAGACTAAGTCACTTGGTGCATTCCTCGTGCTCTCAGTAACTGTGGGGAGCAGAAGCTTCAGCCCCCGACTGGCAACTGTAAACCGTAAGCTCCGAAAACTGCTCTCAAGAGCAACACCACACCTGAACTGACCCAGCTGGTGGCAACACTGACCCAACCCATGGGACGCTGTCACCTTTATCCTGCTTCCTATGATTCTTCATACACTTTGCTGCAGAAGTATGATGGTTTCAGTATTAGGAGCTGCCCACGAGCCCCTGGGTACATGAAGTAACCTTAATCGGAAAAGCTGCTAGGTTCAAAGTACTCCTAACAGGAGGTTCCAGGGACCCTGGCCCTGGGACTTGCTTGACAGAAGCCCCTTCCATCAGAGTGAGGAGCCAGCCAGGAACCTCGGAGACTTTCTGGTCTGCCGTCCCCCAATACTGACCCCAGACATGACAGCATCTGCTATTTTGTTCTTTCTTTTAAATTCAGCACCACTGTTTGAGTTAAGCTTTGGGACGCTTACTGAGCATGGCCTCTGCCTCAAACTGGAGGCTATCTGGCAGTGGGGTAGTTCCTAGATGAAGCTTCTGCTTGGGTCCCTGAAGGCCCAGAGAGGGACTGCGAGGGCCTGGTGATGATGAGGAGGAGAGAACAACCTCAGGTTACCACCAGGAATGGACTGAGCCGCGCGTGGGCAGGGCACACCCCGGCAGTCCAGTCCAGAACCCCAGCTAACAGTCCCCAGGGGCAAGGAAGGGGCTCCAAGAGCCCACAGACTCACATTCAGACTCTGGGCCCAGGAAACCAGGAGGCCAAGGCTTAACCCTTGGTTCAAGGCTGCTGAGGGCTGAGGGCGGGGCCAGCCAGCTCTGGCAGAAGAGAAGCCTGGCGGGACCTTGCTGCTGCTCTTCTCTCCCCACACTCCTGGTTCCTCCCTCGGAGCAGCCACCAGGGGCAAGCGTGATCCCAAAACTGCCTGTTTCTCAGCAAAAAGCTTTCAGGAAACAGCTTCTGTAGGCTCTGGGGCAGATGTGAAAGGGAACAGAGGCTCGGGGCGGGTGGAGCATGGCGCCAGGGGCGGGAGAGCTCGGCCTGGGCCCCTGACAGGGGAGGAGGAGTGCCCATCCAGGTGGGTGCCCAGGAACCCCTACCCTTTACGGGGCTCCCTCACCATAAGCCTGTAGGTGCCAGGCACCTAGCCGCCAGAAGGGAGCTGGTGAGACATTCACCTTTTCCGATTAGATGAGTGCAAAGGATCAACCCTGCCACCATCTCCCAGGTGAGCCCTGGCGAGGAGCTGGGGTGGGGGGATCAGGACCCCGGGACCTGAGGCTCACTAGCACATGGCTCCCTGAGGAAACACTGCAAGGTGAATGATGTGCCTACATACTACAGGCGCTTAATGCATGCATTCTTTCTAAACCTAGTAACTGCAGAACATGGTTTCTTTTGGAGTGATTAAATGTTCTAGAATTAGAGTATAATGATGACTGCACACATTTGTAAATAAACTACAAACTGCTGAATTAGATGCTCTGAGTGGTAGGTGAGCTTCATGGCAGGGGGCTGGTTTGGGTTTGATTGCCTTGCATCCCTGCTGTTCTCTACCCCCACCAGGAGTGGGGAGCTAAGGCAGGTTTCTCTGGGGGAGGGCTGGAGGCTGCTACTGAAGCTGAGGGCCCAGACACAGCTCTGCCCTCAGGCTAAAAGCACAAACTTGCTGTAACAAGGCGACCTGGGTGGGAGCTCCGGCTCTGCCACTCACTAGCTGTGTGACCTTGAGTAGCTAATTAACCCCTCTGTGCCTCCATTTCATCTCTGTAAAGGAAATAATAATAGTATACCTATGTCATCAGGTTCTCATGAGGACTAAACTTGTAAAAGCATGCACAGCCTTCAGCACATGACCCGACTCATGGGAAGGATGACCTAAACCACAGCCACGCCGTTATCATCATGGCTATTGTGACACTGGGGAGATGTTCACAGGCATCTGGCACATCAGGATGAGACTAGGGGATAGAGGTCTCTGGAGTAGATGGGAATCTAAGGTCCTGACTGTTCCAAGGACAGAGAGGGGGTGGGGCGGGGGCTCCCATCTGTATCCAGCCTCTCCCTGCCTAGTACCTCAGGGAAGTTGCAGTTGGGCCAGGAGCTGCCACAGAAGCCCTGCTCATCACCCAGGCTGTAGTTGACCGCCGACTCCACCACATGACACGCGTTGACCTGGCTGGTGCTGATGTTGTGCTCGTCCGCCAGGCAGCCGAACAGGTCCTTGGAGTTGCACATGAACTGGGGGCAAGGAGGAGAGTCAGCACCCAGGGGCAGGCCAGGCAGCCCATCTCTCCAGGCGGGGCTGTCGCCCACCCACTGGCTCAGACACAGCCCGAAGCTGACAAGGCGCAGAGGGGAGCCTGGCAGAGGCTGAGGATGGGCAGGGCCGGTCCAGGCGCCCAAGGTTGGGCTCTTACACGTCCCTTGGGGACCTCCTGAGTCTTTCTGGCTCTTCCAGAATTGTGAGAGTGAGGAACTGAAAGACTGTGTGAGAGAGGCTTTGAGTCAAATCTGATCGCAGACAGTGGGACACAAGTGAGAACTTCCGGAAAGGAAGAGCTCTAGGCCTGGGAACTGCCCTCCCGCTGCAGACTTGTCTGGTGCAGGGTTCCCCTGGGCTTCATCCAGCGGGGCTGGGGAGGCACCTGGAGGCGCAGCCACGCACCATGTTGACGAAAGCCGACAGGAACACCAGGATGATGGTGAACACCCCGACCAAGGTGCTGTTCATCTTGGACCGCACGATCTTCCTGGAGAGGGTCTGCAGAGGGCCAGGGAAGAGCTGTTGGGGGGGGGGGGGAATGGAGGGAGAGAGACAGGGCAGAATTCAATGGAGATGCCACAAGCCAGCACAGAGGAACTGGGAGGAGCCAGGCTCCCCTTCCCCTCTTGCCTCCTGCTTGCATCCCTGGGGGCTTCCCGAATTCCTGCTCAGAGCACAGATCTCCTTCCACTGCACTGCCACTTCCAGGCCAACAAAAGTGAACCGGTGCAGTTGGCCAGGAGGCAGCGGGAGCTCACTGTGAGAGAGAGAGACCCAAAGGGAAGAGGCGCCCTGACCCTAAAGGGAAGCAAAGCTGGGCCACTGGGAGTTACTGTCATGGAGGGCAGTCGGTAGCAATTAAGGAATCACACAGGGCCCAGAACTTTCCCAGGGAAGGCCAGAAGGCTTCCTGCAAGAAGTAGGGAGCTGTGGGTTTGATGATTCATCGAGGGAGGCAGTGGGCTTGTGAGAAGGGGCAGAGCAGCACCCGAGGAGGAGGGCAGTGCCCTGGACACGTACGCTCGCTCAGGGGCCTGCCATTTCCCTCGCCTAACCTGCTCTATTTCTTTAACTAGGTATGCTGTATGTACACTCGAAGACCCACTATGGTTTGGTGAAGAAATGATCTGATGCCACCAAATCTGATATACTGGGCCTTGGCCATCATATCCTCCTCACCACTCAACAGCAGGACTCCAAAAGCAGCTGCCCACTGGAGAAACAGGGCCCCAGCACCCACCTCAGTACCTCCTGTGGAGGCCGCACTGGTACATACAGGCCAAGGGGGCCTGTGGCCACCCCTGAAGCAGAGAGGGTGGCAGAAAATGTGGGATCAGTTTTGACCACCCAATTCAGCAACCCGGTGGCCTGGGTTCTAAGTGTGGCTTTCCTGTGTCACCTTGAGTCAGTCACATGCCCTCTCTGAAGGCTACAATCAAAAGTCAGACAATAACAAGTGTTGCTGAGGATGTAGGGAAACTGGAACCTTCCTACACTGCTGTTGGGAATGTAAAATATTATAGTTGCTTTGGACAACAGAGTGGCAGTTCCTTAAAATGTTAAACACTAGGTTACTATAAAACCATACTCACATATTCATCAATCGATTGATAAAATTGGTGGTGATAGTTACACAGCTTTATGACTATACTAAAAGCTACTGAATTACAAGTTCATCCACCTTTATAAAGATGATTTTATGGTGTATGACTTATAGTTCAATAAAGCACTTAAAATTTCCTGCTCAGCCTCTTATTAGCTGTGTGATCCTGGGGAAATAATTAGCAACTCTGAGCCTCAGGTCTTTTATCAATGAATAGGGAAATCTACCTCTCAGGATGGTTCTGAAACCACAATGAAATTGTGCTTTGTAAGCTGTGAAATTCATAGAAATTTTAGTTAATATTTGCACTTTAAAGAGCCACGTTGCTAATAAGAATGAAAAGTCTTAGATGGAAAAAATGCACAAAATGATGTAAAAATAAACTATTATATTATTTTTTAAAAAAAGAATGAAAATTCTTGTTTCCCATTAAAGGAATTCTGGGTTTCACAGCTGGGAACACATTTTGGCACTAGCGTGAGGATCTTGCCGTGAAATGGTATGGCAGATGGTTTCTAATTTTTGGCTGCTGAAAAATTTGCCATTTCGGTGGCCACTCGGCTGCCCCCCACTACCACCCTTCCATCCCCTGACCCGCCCCCATGTTGCTGAAACCTTTTTCAGTTTTGATCACCCAATTCAGCAACTGAAAGACTGTCATCATTCTGCAGCCACTAGTGCAATACCCGATTTAAGCAAACGTTATGAGCAAATGCTAAAACCTTTAGAGAAGGTGAGGGGGCAAGGACTATCTGGTGACTGTGGGACTTGGAGCACCACAGGGGCCACTCAGGGGCCAGGAGAAGAACTGCAGCTATTAAAAATGCAACCTGGAATGTGGCCTAACATCTAATGAATGACTCTTAATGCATTGGCTTGCTGTTAGCCAATTTCCCTTGTCATCCTTAAAAAAGATCTGCTCTTGGCTTTAAAAACCTCAGCAGGGGGCCCTCCCTGGTGGCACAGCAGGTTAAAGCACAGCACTAAGAAGCTAAAGCCATATCAGCACGAGTTCAATCCCTGCCCCAGAGGTGACCCATATGGTGCTGCAGACCTCTCCTGACCCACCCGCTGCTCCCCTCAGCAGTGCATTTTCATTGATCTGCCTGTTGTGCTCCCCACTCTGTCTCTGGTGAATCCTCTCACCCCCTGCACCTCTGGCCTGTACTCCAGTTCTGCATGCATAAATAAATAAATCTTAAAAAAAAAAAAAAAAAAAAACTCATCCCCTGGGGCAGTCTCCCAGAGGGGCTGCACCACTGCAGCAAAAGAAAATCCTGGAAAGAATTTTTGCTGCAGGATACTTGTGTTTGTGTAAACCAATTGCTCAATGCCTGCTCTCAATCAGAGCTCAGAAAAACAATCGATTTTTAAAAAATACATTTCAACCAGCACATTCCCGGTCTGATTAATTCACATCTAGGTAGCAAAAAACACAGAAGTGAGGACAGAACTAATGACTGCGGTGAGGGGCAGCTGGACCCTGGTCTCTCACACGAGCGTCCAGGCATGCCAGTAACCCTGGAGTTCTGGTTCCAGGTTTGTGATGCAGAGTGGGATACTGCAGGTGTGGAAGGAGATGATAAGTACCTGATGGCAAAAAGTTGAAGAAACGTTTAGCTTATGCCAGAGTCAGTCTAGCTCATGCCAATATCAATCAAGAGTTGTGACCCAGGGCCTCCCTGGTGGCATATGGGTTCAGTATCAGACTATCACATATTGCTGCTGCAGCCTGAGTTCAATCCCTGGCCAGGGAGCTGAACCACATGGTGCAGCAGACCTCTCCTGACCTGCCAGCGGCTCCCCTCAGCAGTGTACTTCGTAGATCTGCCTGTTCTGCTCCCCACTCTGTCTCTGGTGAATCCTCTCACCCCCTGCACTTCTGATTTGTATCCCAGCTCTTGTATGCATAAGTAAATAAAGACAAATCTTTAAAAACAAAAGTTATGACCTAGCACCTCCAATTCCAGGGGTGACCGTTGGGCTGCGAGAGGGGCCTCTGTGAGGGGGCTAGAAAGAGAGGGGCCCAGGTGTACACCAGACTCACCTTCACACAGGAGTAGATCACGGACACAAACACCACCAAAGTCAGCAGCAGGAAACAGGTCAGGTAGAAACTCAACATGAACATGGAGCTGAAAGAAGAGAGTTGGTGGGGAGTCCTGGGTGGGCCCAGGCGAAGGTGGCGACTTGCAGCCTCCTGGGATGGCAGGTCTCAGGTTCCCAGGGCCCATTATCCAGATCCAGAGGTTTGGGGGCTCCAAAGCCCCTGTGAAGGAGGTGGAAGCTTCTTCATTTCTCCTGCAAGCACTGTCCAGTCACCTACACTGCAGCTACACCTCACTGAGAAAGGCATGCACAGGTTTGAGAACTGACTCAGCCCCCCCATAACCGTCTGGCTCCCACTCTTCCCGCTTTCCAGGGGAGCAGCAGCCAAGGGGAGACAAATGGAGAACCAGGTGACACCAATGTTCTGCCAAATTCTAGCTGTCCACGGACTTGCTTCACTGAGCTTGGAAGGCCCCACTGAAGAATCACTTGCTTATTCCCTTCAAGTAGTCACTCTTGGCTTGATAAATAACCATGAGGCCAAAGGCTGGTTTGATAGACGGCCCTGATACAGAGACATGCATCTGTCCCTCCAGCCACCCTGAGAGCCAGCAGTGACATGCTCTCAGAGGCAGACGCCTAAACCTCCCGCCCCGCCCCATGACAGATCCCATTCAGTTTCTGCTTCCTGCTCAAGGCAAGTTCAGCAACAACAAGAGAAGATCTCCCTCTGCCCCTCTTTTCAGAGGGCAAATCGCAGGTGATCTTAACATCCACCATGGGCCAGAATCCTCAACAAAAGAACTGCAAGAGGCTTTACATCCGGAACTCCCACAAGCCCTGACAGGGCCTGGCTGAGCTAAGGCACACACTCCACCCTGTCACCGGGAGGTCACACAAAGTCCTTCTCCCTTTCAGGGAGCAAGAGTGGCAGGAGGTGCCAGACACCAGCAGCAGGTAAAAGGCCCGTGGACTGAGCGGCAGGTGAACACCTCTAGGGAGGCATTTCAACAGAGTCTTTGTTCCAGGCTTCCCCAGAAGCCAGCACTTAGCTGCTTTAAACTGACAATGAGGGAAGAGAATTCTCTTCAGAGGAAAAGAAAGACCTTTAAAGTAGCTTTTAAGGCTTCCCCAGAGAGAGGAGGCCAGAGAAATGACCTCCATCAATGCCTTAACAAGTTGGAGTTGTGGCCAGAGGAGGGAACAAAGCTGTGATCACCCAGCTCCCAGGTCATGCTCAGAAAAGAAGTGGCAGAGGTAAGATTATGCAGCCCAGAAAGCCTCATGGGCTGGCTTATCCCCGTAGCTCCATTTCCATGCAGAAAAAATGAGGTCCAAGGCCCACAGGGACCCACACTCTCCCCAGCTTTGTACAATGTAGGGGGTAGGAGGGCAGTGGGTATTAGCCGTGTCGGTGGAGCCGTGGTGGCCCGGGAGGAACCAGAGCAGCTTTGAAAGCCAGGGCCAGGTCTTCAGCAGTGCCATTAACAATGAGAGGTCGGTGGGCATCGTGACCACCTGATCCCGTCCAGTGCACCGAGACACACCCTCTCTCCCTCTGTGAGGTTCTTGCTCATTGCATAACTCTAATCTGATCATGAGAAGACATCAGATGAACATTCTCCAAATTATTTGGTCAGGGCTCATCACTGGTAGACCAAGGCTGTGAAACACAACAAGGGCTGAGGAGCCATCACAGACAGGAGAGGGCTGAGGAGATACAACAGGTGAATGCAGTGTGGGCTCCTGGGCAGGTTCCTGGGACAAAAGAGGTCATCTGGGGGGAAACGTATGAGGAAAATGGAGTAAGGTCTACAAGTGGATAGCACCATTCCAGTGTCACCTGTCTGGTTTTGACAGTTATGTAAGTAGTCAACATTAGGGGAAACAGGATGAAGGGTGTATAGGAACGGTAGCATTTTCTTGTGCAATGACTTTGAAATGTAAACTAGAAGGTGCTGGAGTGAGGGATTCTTCTAGATTGTTAAACTTACAAGACAACCAAATGGAAACAGGTATCTTGAATAGACACTGACTATGGATAAATAAACAGAAGACATTTGGGGGACAATTTGGAAATCTGACTATGGGGTGGGTATTAGGTGTTATTTTTGTTGATGTATAAGGTACATGACCAAGGAGGAAAATGCTCTTAAAACTGGTGGGTACTGGACTACATCAAGTTAAAGAGCTTCTGTACAGCAAAAGAGACATTACAAAAGACAAACAGACATCCCACTGACTGGGAAAAATGTTTTGCACACAAAACCAGTGGTAAAGGATTGATCACAAAGATATACAAAGAACTGATGAAACTCAACAAAAATAAACAACCCCATAAAAAAAAATGGGCAGAAGAGCTAAAAAGACACTTCTCCAAAGAGGAAATGCAGATAGCCAACAAGCATGTGAAAAATGTTCAACTTTACTTGCAATAAAGGAGATGCAAATTAAAACCACAATGAGATACCATCTCACCCCAGTGAGAATGGCACATCTTTAAACAACTAGCAACAACAAATGTTGGTGAGGATATGGAGAAAAAGGAACTCTCCTGCACTGCTGGTGAGAATGCAAACTAGTACAACCACTATGGAAAACTGTTTGGAGGTTCCTCAAACTGCTTGACATGGAGCTTCCATATGATCCAGCAACCTCACTCCTAGGTATCTACCCAAAAGACACAAAAACACTGATTCAAAAAGATACCTGCACCCCCATGTTTACCGCTTCTTTATTTACAATTGGAAAGACATGGAAACAGCCCAAATGCCCAAAAGTAGATGAATGGATTAAAAAGATGTGGTACATATACACAATGGAATATTACTCAGCAACCAAACAACAAATTGACACATGTCTTTTGCAGCAACATGGATGGAGCTGGAAAAGATCATGCTTAGTGAAATAAGCCAGAAAGAAAAGGAAAAATAGTAGATGGTTTCATTCATAGCAGGAGTATAACAGACCAGGAGAGAAAATAATAATAATGAACAGCTATATACCAGAGACATTTTACAGGGGTGGAGTGGGGAATGGGATCAAAAACAGTGGGGGGAGGGAATTGCACTGGACTATGGTGATGGCACATGTGTGATCTGGTGATGGGAAGCCCACAGGGATTACAGCTGAGATGGAAAAATGCACAAAATGATGTAAAAATAAACTGTTATATTATTTTTTAAAAACTGGTGGATACTGAGCTTTGTAGAGGTAAAATATCATCACATCTATAATTTTCTTTACAAATTAATTAAAAAGTATCAAACAAATATTGCAAAACATTAACAACTTTTATATCCAGGGGATGGGTGTTGACCATAATAAATGCTTTTTGTATGTTTATACTATTGTATCATGAGAAGTCAAAAAATGCATCAGGCATTCTGTGTAGACACACCCACAGCTCTTCCCTCCACGTGACCCCTGAGAATGACTATCGAACAAACACTCCAGCCCCAAAGGCTGATGCCCCCTTCACAGTGGTCCTGTTGGAAGTCACGAGCCTCTCTCAGCGACATGACCAGACCTCAAAAGCGCAAAGAGTGCCTCTTTGAGAAGAGCCTTTTAGAACCTGGAATCCGTTCTTTGAAATATCCAGGGTAGCAGAAAACTTTATCTCTTGAAGAGGCATTGATTTTTTACAAGAACCCAAGGTCATGCAGAAATGAGCCTGCTGGCTCCTTTGGGTGACTGCTCAAGCAGCAGCGGTGCAGGGTAAAATGGGGCAAGAGCTAGGCAGAGACAGAGCCTCTCACGCCAGGCGGTTCCCAGGAGAGGTTTTCCGCCAAGCAGCCGCGAAGCCTCCCTGTCACGGAGGGTCAGGACCCTGGCTTCCCAGTCCCATTGAGGATATGAGGACACATCCAGAGACCTCTCTCCCTGCCCAGACCCCACGTCTGCCCTCTACCTGACCTCTCTGCTCCTCCCCTGTGGTCCTGCAGCAGAGAGGTTGTAGAGGGGTTGAGATACTTACTGGGGCACGATGGTGATCTGGACAAAGCAGATGAAGAGGAAAACGAGCGAGGCACACGCCACGGAGGCACCGAATCGGTCATCCACCTGCTTGGAGTACTGAGAGGACACGGCAGGGTCAGGGCCTGGAGCTAAGGCCCTGTCTGTCCTAGACCCAACCCCCAGGGCCAGCCCACTCCCAGGACAGGAAGACCCCACAACCAGGGCTTAATTTCCAAGCAACCACTGCAAACCGCCACAGGGGGGCGCCAGTGGGGCGGGTGGTCAAAGTGGGACTGTGGGGTCAAACCAGAAAGTTTCTGCAATGTGTCACCGGGCACCTTCGACATGCGAGGACTTGTGCTGGACCCTGCCAGCACCACTTGCCCGGCGAGAGTTGGGAAGCAGAACCGTAGGTGTTTCTACTTGGGCCTGAGTGAGTTGGGGTTCAGAGCAGTCATGCAACTTGTCCAGCATTACAGAGCTCACCAACAGGTCCTGACTTCCAGCCCCAGCTGCCCCCAGACACAACCAGCTGCCCAAACAGAGGCTCTGCTGGCCCAGTGTCACGCAGACTGGCAGAGCCCGGCCAGTGCCACTCGCTGAGGGCACACACTGCCTTCCCCATGCTTCCCCTCCCATTAGGTTGCCCTCACCTGACAATGACATGAGCACATGAACTGATTTTACTGGGACACCCGGGAGACCCTGAGATGTGAGCAAGATCCAGCACCAGCACCAGCTCCAGCTCTGTCATGGCCTCGCTGGCTGGCCTCATGCAAGGCGCCCAGCCGCTCGGCCACAGCGTTAAGAGACGGCCCAAGAGCTCCTGACTGCTCTCCCCAACTCCGAGGTCCTGGTGTGCCAGTGCAGCTGGTGGCCCAGGGAAACACAGGGAGCGCAGCAGTCATGACACAGACAGCGGCTAACACCGCACACCTACTACGTGGCTCGTAGTCTTTTATGCGCTTCACGCGTAGGGCCGAGCTTAAGCCTCACTCTGGCCCTGTGAGGGAGGGATGTTAAATGTCCCCATTTCCAGATAAGAAAACTGAGGCACAAAGGGTTTAAGAAGTCTCCCCGAAACACCCATCTCCCGGGTAGTACAGCAGCAGAACTGGGGAAACTGAGGTAACAAGAAAGGGGTCTTCATGCCCCTGGCTCCGATTCTGCCCAGGGCCCCTTCCCGCCGGGGTGCTGGACCTTCTTCTCTAAGTCAGGCTCCCTGAAGGTCAGGAGGAACTTGCGAACGTGCTCCGACCGCAGCCTGTCGATGCTCCTGGCGTCAATGGCTCGCCCCAGAAATTCATCCACTTCGTCCTCAGGGTTGGCACTTTCCTGGGCGTTTCTAGGGGAGCAAAAGGCACAGACACAAGTTGGCTACTCGCCAAGGGACCTGGGGATGGCTGACTCTGCCCTTGTGCCCCAGTCCTCAGAGGTACTCTGCAGGATCAGCCCTACCAGGCACTGGGGAGCTGGCACGGGGGGACCCCACTGACAGGAAGGCCCTCTTGGACCTACTGATACGGTGCGTTATACTAAGACTATGAGTATTACCTGGGGTTTACCCAACAGGTAACAGTCTCTGCTCTTCGTTCTTCAGCTGCACCGTGGGTCTAGCAGGTGCCGGCTGGGGGCGAGGTATCTGCTACAGGGACCGTGAACCACCTGGTATCCTTAACTTGGCTCAGGACTGTCTGGGAAGCAGGTTGCAGGATCTTTGGGTGCTACACTAAAACCCCTATTTGTCAGGGTGCAGCTGAGAAATGAGAAGTGGAGGAGGAAAGGGAAGACAACCCTCAGGACATGGGCACGTGTCCTGGCACAGGCGACCAGAGTTCCCTGTGCGTGTGTGCGCGTGTGTGCACACAGAGCACGCAGGCACGTGTCGTTGCGTGTGCACACAAGTGCAGCGTGCCTGTCTGTGGCAACACTGTGTTTGTGGAATGGGCCCAGCCCCTCCGCCGCCTTCTCCAGCTGCAGGGACTCCATTCCCTCCCCACCCCGAGTCTGAGTGTGGCTCATCCTCCACGGAGTGTGGGGAGCCAATCAGGAGGCAGACTTGCAGAGACCCCAGGCTGAGGGAGCAGGACTAAAGAGGGGCACATTACTCACTTGTCCTTGGGGTCTTCAAAGCCCTAAAAGAGAGGGACAGAGAGAGAAGGAGAGTGAGAACACAGAGGCCTGAAAACAAGGGCTTCTAGGGGAAGGGCACCCAGGGGAGGCTGTGGCTCAGTCTCGCTCTGGAGTTCACCAAGGAGCTGGATAGAAAGAGGATTGTCATTCGGACTCCCTGCTCGGATGCCTGGGGTGCACTGTGACTTTATTCCATCCACAGGCAAAATGCACGTGTACAGACCCTTGCTGTGCCCACATGCAATTTCTTGCATAGCCCCTAAGTACCCCCACCCTGCTTCTGTGTCCTGGGCTTGGCAAGTACCCTCCCAATTCTGCCACCTGCTCGGCTAGCAATAAGGAACACTGTGATGCTGCCCAGTCCCCATGTGCAGGCACCTGTGTCTGTGCACACGCACCCCCACATCCCCACGGAGTACATGGGGATCCTCCTAGCACTCATGAGTTTGGCACTTAGAAATATAAACTTAGGTGACCTGCAGTAGCGTTTCTGGTATCTGAGAATCCACCTGTTCTTGTAAGGCCAGAGGTGGCTGGGGCCTGGGAGGGAGGAACCACCTGGCACAGACCTGCCTGCTGTCCAGAAACTCCTATGGGAGCTCAGGGAGGGTGTGAGGAGGCCCCTTACTGGTGCCCTCCAGCCATATCTGGAGTTAATCTATAAGCCCACAAAAGGACTGGTGTGATCGGGTGTGATCTGACTAGCTGTGGCAGAATGAAGCAGGTGGGATCGCAGGCACCACTCCAGGCAAGGCTCAGGTGGCCAGGGCAAGGACAGGGAATGTCCTCACATCTCCGTGACCCAGCGTCGGGCACACTGCTGGGCAGGACGGCCGTCAGCTCGGGAACCTAAACACCAAATGGACACACCTCTCTTTGCCCCCACTGAGGACAGAGCTGGAAAACAAAAGTGGGATTTATGTTGTTTTCCAAAGCCAGAGGACCCAGTGCTAAAACAGGTTTGTTGTCTACCTGCCCCAAGGTACTCCGTCTTTGCTCTAAGCCCCCAAAGAGGGCTCCCGGGGCCCTGGCAACATCTAGAAACACATTCAAGTGTCAAATGTGGGTTAGAGCACCCTCCAAGCTGCCCTGCAGCTGAATGTCCTAGTGCTCGTCTGTCCGGGCAGGTAGGAGCCTTCTCGTCTCCGAGAATCCCCTGACTCAGGCAGCAAGACCTGCCTACTTCATGGGTCCAGGCCCACACTGGAGGAGCTGGTGTGTGTTGGGGGGAGGGTCAGCGGTGGGAGGCCCACGCAGGCTCCAGGGGTCTCAGAGGGCAGGCTTGAGCTAACAGCACAGGGCCTGAGCAGGCCACTCTCTCCAGGACCGGGCGAGGCCCTGGCCACGAAGGCTTCACAGGGGCCTGCGGCGATTGTACTAGGGGACTGAGAACAGCCAAGCTGTGTTATGCCCGCACTGGTCTCTGCAACTCAATATAAACCTGAGCAGTGTTTCATGACCCTGTTTCTGATTCTCCCTAGTGCACCTTTGGTCACTAGCGGGGGCTGAGGTCGCGACCCCGGCTGTCCTTGGTGTGCCATGCTCGGCCGCAGGCCGGACGCTGAGCTGACCACGCTGGTCATGCCTTTGGTCCACACATAGTCGAGGGTAACTAAGAACACAGGCAGGGCTCAGCTCAGCTACCCCAGCTGCTCACTAGTTCCAGCTCATCCAGGACCTCAGAGGTGCCCTGTGCTTTGGGCCTCAGCACCCCTGGGGAGCAACTCTGCTCTGGTTCTGCTTGATTCCTGATTCCTCCTGCTCAGCCCTAAAGCAAGAACAGAGACTGTGGCCCCAGCTCCTCCACACCAGCGTGCCAGGCTCCCTTTTGCACGTCTCCCGTGGTCCAAGCTTCCTTGGACTTGGGAAGGTGAGGGGAACCCATGGAGGTGCCCACTGTCAACCTTCTTAATGAAGAGTTAGTGACCCCCCAACTCTCCCACCCACATGTAAACCAGTGCGAGTCATCCTCATCATCTGTTCAAGGCTGGACAAAGCTGGCACACGATTTAAAGAAATAAATGGCGAACTCCCAGGTTACTTCGCCACTAGTTCTCAGGTGCTGCTTACTCTTATTCTCAGCCTTCCACCTCGTCGTCAGTGGAGGTCTCCTGTATTTCTTTCTTGAAGATTTCAGGTAAGTTTAACCCACAAGCCGATGGGGTCACCCAACCCTGGCCTGCACACTTTGGAGGGGCCAGGAAGGGCCAAGCGTCAGTACATGGTGCAACCCGGGGGGCTGCCTGGCTGGGGTGGGGAGCCTCTCCTCAAGACTGCAGCAGTGCCCACCCCTCTCCCCATTCTCTCCCTTTCCTTCCTGCTGGGTGAGCAGTTAGCACCACGCGGACCCTCTCTGCAGCTGGCCTCCCGCGCCTGGAAACTGCCTGTTCCCCAGTTACAGCGCTTCTGCTCCTTCTACCAAGCTTTCTGTCCTAACAATGATTAATCTGGCTGCCAAACCAGTGCTTATAGTCCGGGCCTCCTCCTCTGAGACTCTGAAATAACTAAAGACTCAGCTTATACCAAGTATCACTAAAGGAAAAAAAGACTTCCCTAAGGCCGAGAGAGCTTGAGGTTCCACCAGGTTCCTTCCTCTTCCACTCCACCTCTTTCCTGCCCATCTTTCTCTTCCCCGCTCTCCTGGGTTCCAGCTCCTCCCACCCCCACCTTTGCCTTCTCTGTCCTCCTCTTCCCTGTCCCTAGTTCCTCCTACAAGCCAGTTTCCCTCCTGCATCTGCTCTCAATACTCCCCCTCTTCTTGGTGCCCCCCACCTTTTGATTGGCCTGGTTGTGTGGTTAGAGTTTGCAGATTGATAAAAGGCTGTTGACCATATGGAAAACTGTGTAGAGGAGCCTCAAATTACTAACAGTGATGGCTACCATATGATCCAGCAATTCCACTACCAGAAATCTACCCAAATGATACAGAAATATTATTTTAAAAAGAAACCTACCCTCCTATTTATTGCAGCACTATTTACAATAGCTAAGATGTGGAAACAACCCAAATGCCCAACCTGGCACAAGATTTAAAAAAATAAATGGCTAACTCCCAGGTTGTACTTCACTAGTAGAAGTACAAGAGGACTGGATCAAGAAGATGTGGTATATAGATGTGGTGGAATACTACTCAGCGATCAAAAAGGTAAATTTGTACTCTCTGCCATATGGATGGAGCTAAAAGGGATGATGCTTAGTGAAATAAACAGAAGGGAGAAAAAATATAGGACATTTTCATGTATAGGAGGGATACAGGGGAACTAAACATGGGGTAAGAAAAAAAAGACAAAACTGGCAAGCGCATTATAGATCTGAGACATATAATAAGGGAATGGGAAGCAGAAGGGTCCAAACCGGGGAGGGAAGGGCACAGGGACTATGGTGAAGGTTCGCAGGGTTATGTGGTGGTGGGAGATTTATGGGGATTACACCTGAGGAGAGAAAGAAAATATCGTACAAAAGTGAACAATGATATGGGAAAAAAACAAAAAGACAGCTGCCAGCCACTCTGACTTCAGGGTGGACACTTGAGGCAGAGGGTGTTGACAGGGGCCCGTACAGTGACCGGGTTTGGGGACATCCACGTCCTTAAAGCCCTGGAAGGATCGGGCTCGCTCTCTCTGCCCCCATAACCTCAGTGTTTCACGAGTTGTTCTTCAACATCAGTGTTTTAAATGGAGGTCTTAATTCAATTTTTTCCCTGTAGCTTTTCCTTAAACGACTGTCACCTGTGCCTGCTAGCCTCCCCACCCCCGACTAGGGGATCCTAGAGCCAATCCTCCCCACCTTGTTCCTCTACCCAGTCCATGGCTGCAGGCACACATTGCTCCCTGCACTGTCCCTCTCTCAGAGTGGGCGGCTCTGGGCTGGGCACCAGGCTGCCCGTGAGCTTGAGTGTGCCTGGACAGAGAAGCCAAGAAAGAAAACACATGGCTCTGATATGACTTATCACTCCCTTTTCTTCCCACCGTCTGAATTTCTCTCTCTGCTATTGTTGAGAGAACCAGGCAGTGCATCTTGAATTAGCTCTGCCCTGCTGTGTGCAGTGATGGCTGGGGTGGGGTGGGGGTAGGGGGGGGGTTTCTGTCTTCTGAGGCAGAGGCAACCCCTTGCCACACCACGCACTTTCAGCCTGCAGGCTCCCACAGGAAAGCTGGAGTTTCCAGAGGTGTTTCTTAGCACAGGGCAAAGGGACGGCCCCTGGCTCTCACCAAAGAGCACGGGGTAGCTTCTGAGCAGCTGAAGTTGCAGGATGTGTTTCAGCTGCCTGGGAAATGCAGCTGGTGCTGGAAGGGTATCTGACAAGCTGGTGCCCACCCAAATCCCCAGGGCTTCACCGGACAGCCAAGAGACCGCTGGAGGCTGACTGGACCCTGGTCCAGCCAGACAGGCCTGCTTCCAACCTGTGGTAGCAAGCTCTGCCAAAAAGTGGGGGAGTGCCACTGATTTGAAGCCAAACCAGGGGTGCCAAGAGGCGGTGGGCTCACGGAGACCCTGGGACCGGAAGGCAGGCGCTCTGGCTCCTTATCCAAAGTTGGGTCCAGCCACCCAGTGCTTCCTCCTGTGCCCTCGTGTTCCCGAGCACGAAATCCCTAGCCCCGGGGAGGGCGACCGCACCCCACTCACCCCCCACTCACCATCCGCTTCATCTCCTTGGACACCTGGTTGCCGCCCAGATGATTGTAGAAGGGGCGCTCGGCCCCCCAGTGCGGTGGGTTGTGCCCAATGGAGTTGGTTCTCTGGCGATTCATCTTGGCGATCATGGCCTTCTCTTCTTTCTGGAGGGCACACAGGTGTATCAGCAGGTGAGCCCCGGAGGGGAGAGACTCTTCCCCGCGCCTACCTCCTGCCTGGAGAGGACTTAGGCAGCCGCCCCCTCTTCTCCACACAACCTGGCGCCCGAAGCTTGTCCAGCTCCTAAAGCTCACCAGGACAAACATGGATCTTAAGTCTCCCACAAGCCTCCCTGCCAGGCCTGGCTGGCCCAGGTGGGAGCGACACAGCAAGGTGAGGGGCACAAACCTGTGCCATTCACGTGGGGTCCTCCCGGGGGTGGGCAAAGCTTAGGTGTGAAGGAAACTGAGGGTGATGTGGAGAGGGTATTTCTAATCCCCACTCAACTTGATCAAAACAGGGACGTCCAAACAGTCATTTAAAAATAGGGACATCCAAGCAGGACAGGCACAGGGCTTTGGGTGAGCAGAACATGAGATTCACCATTGCGCTCATGACCTCCCACCAGTGCCCGCGGGCGCCAGGGTCTCTGCCTGCCTGTCTGCTCCCCAAATGGGTGCAAGACGTGGGCGGCGGGGGAGACTTGTGGATCCTAGGGCACCTTCCCCTCAACTCCTTCCCTGAGTCTGCAAAGGAAAACTGTCATATTGGGGCGGCAGCAGAGGCGGCTTCCACGGGCATTGTTTTGGTGGGTGGCTGGGGTGTCACCCTCAGTCTATCTGCATTTCATCCTTTTTGGACCATTTGTCAGGCTGGGAGAAACAAGATCCAGAGATTCTAGAGAGCGAGCCTTTGGCCTGGGTGGGGCAGGATATGGGTGAAGGGCTTGGAAGGATTTCAGTACATTTATACTCTAGTTAAATAACAAGCAAAATTTAAAGTGTGTCAACTGCAGTGCTAGGAGCCCTCCCAAACCCATCCTCTTCCGATGTCAGTGGTGGGCCCTGACACAGCTTCTCCAGAGGCTGCGGCAGCCAGGCCCTATCTCCTGGGGTGCCGCTGGGCAGGGCGGGGTGCTCCAAGATGGCCCTTGGTGGGCACCAGCCCCAAAAGCCCTGCCCCTCTTTACAATATCAGCTTTGCTGTCAGCCAAGATTTCCCTGCACTTTTCTCACTGATTCATTTGTCGCTATCTAACTTCTTAGGAAAGAAACAGGGGAGTTCCCCTCTGAAAGGACTCTGGCCAACAGACAAACTCAGTGGAAAGATTTCTAAGTCAAAGGCATTTGAGTCTAAGGAGATATATAAAACGTGCTCTTCGCTTGCCTTAAAAATTTAAGAACATGGAATATGACACTATTAAAAATAGAACAGTGAGTCTGTTAATCATTCAGTTTTATATTTTGGCAAGTGTGGGCTGAGACAAAAGATGGTAGAAGAAAGAGACAAGAAAGTCAAAAGTGGGGAAGAGGATAAATACCCGGCAGAGACGGACCCAGAGAGAGAGAAAAGGGGGTGGGGTGGGGGTGGGCGGCCAGGCAAGCAACTGCCCACCTGGCTTAAGCAACAGAAAATGAGGGGGGTGGGGGATACAATACATGGCGGGCAGATTTCCTTGACCCTTCATTTCCGTCTCCTGGCTCTCTGCGTATTGTTGCTAACTGATCTGAAGTCTGTGTTTTTGCAACAAGCAAAATGAAAGCATCGCCTCCTTGCCCTCCACCTGTGCAAAGCCTTGCAACTCGTATCTTCTCCTGAGATGCAAGAACCACAGGACTTGTCTCAGGAAAGGAGAAGACAAGGAAGCAGCAGGCCAGAGAAACATTCCTTCTGGAAAAGTGAAGCCCCTGAGCCCCACGGCCACCCCCCGGGGCCCCTGACCCTCTTCTGGGTGCAGCGCAGGATAAGGAAGGTCTCGATGCTGTGCTCCTTGAGGTAGGCGTTGCGCTCGCCCCCACAGCCCGGCTCCACCTCGTAGTCTCCGTTCAGGTAGTTGAGTGTGGCCTTGGTGATGTGGATGCGTCTGGGTGGGAAGGGGGCGGGGGAGAGGGGGAAGCAGAAATCACGAGTTGAGTTCAGAACGTTAGCTGTCAGGCAGAACCCAACTCCAAGTCAAATGGCAGGGACCCAAACTCTGGCTCAAATGCTAACGCAAACCTCCACTCCCGCCTCAGCCTACTGCATCCTTCCAGTGTCATGGCACCTGCAGTGCTATCCCGGCTCTCGTCCACACAACGGCCCAATTTTACATCTATGGTGTATTAATAGCGTATAATTAACGTGGGCGGCCTCCCGTCTCTGACACTTTGCAAATCTGCCGAGAAGCCAGCAATGGCTCCTGCTGACTAAGTCCAAATCCCCTGTGTTGTTCTGGCTACCCTGGAATTTACCCCTGCTTCCCACCCCACCAGAGCTCTACCCTACTTATCGCATCTCCCACAAGTTATCTTAATTGGCGTAGATATCTTCAGGGCAGGTTGAAGGGATGCGCCCCACAGCTTACCTGGTGTGGATAAGTAACCGGTCAAGTGGACGAAGATCTACCTAGAGTCCGCCAACCCCGGGGTCAGGGGTTACCCCGGCTCGCCCAGCCCAGCCCCACTCCCCACAGTCGCCCTGGGTGAGGAGCTACATCTGGGCTGGCCTGAGACCCTCACTCACCCAGCCTTGCCTCCAGCTTCCATGTGGTTGGCCAGCGTGACGTCGTTAGACCAGACGTCGAACTGCCACTTCCTGAGACCAAGGACACCGCAGTGTACTCGCCCGCTGTGAATTCCCACACGCATGTTCACGTTCACCCCTGTCACCTCCCGGACCAACCTGGGGATGGAGCAGGGGTAAGGCTGGGAGAGGGTCAGGGGCTAGGCACACAGAGTGGGGGTGAGGCTGGAAAGCAGGGAGTCAGGGAGTCAGGGGGTGCTTCAGAAGCGGTGGGGGTCAGACTCATTCCTCTCAGCTCCAGCCCAAATCCAATCTCAGAGTGTCAGCTGGGAGGAAAGGGGCACCCCAGCCCTGTCTGTGCTCAGGTGCCTGACAGTGAGAGGTGCTGTTCCCCACCTTGGCCACAGGGTGGCGAGGTGCCTCACACTAAAAGCCGTGCTCCAGGGCTTACCCGCCCCTGGCCAGGGCACCCAGGCTACTAGCCTCTGTCAATTAAACTGTGTTCAGAAAATGCAATTTGACACATTAGTGCTGCATGAGCCAAAAAGGTAAGTTGCACCCACTCCAAACCCCACGCCTATAATGTTCCCGGGCTTTTTCACATTGCTATTTCTTCATTAGCAGGATGATGGAGAAAGGCAATCAACTGAGTTTCAAGAGAGGACCTATGTCCTGCTCAGAAACAAAGAGGTCTCAGACAGGTGCAGGGGACTAAAGGCGCCCCATCTTCTAGAAGAAAGATCCCCCGCCCATCACATCACCCGAGGTGCACATGGGAGAGAGTTGCGGTGGAAGCTGTACATCTCCAGGTGTGGTCTGGGGCCAGGTCTGCAGTGTGCACTTGCAGGAACCGGAGCCTCCCTGATACTGTGGGATTGGCCAACTCACCCATGCCATCGGTGAGAGGCTGGCACGCCCCCCTACCTCCCACGAGGAAGATTCAAGTCATCTTGTCCTGGGATCAACGCTACAAGTATCTTACAGGAGCTGTTCCTTTGTCACAAAGCCTCTGGCCACTTGCTTGAGGTTGATGATCTCATTCTATCTTTTTGGCTTAACTCAAGGGCTACCTCATAAAGCTGTTCTCAGTCCCCCTATTGGATTCAACTGCCATCTGCCTGGTCCTCCCACCAAGGTTCCCCTGTTTTAACCGGTGAGGCCAGCTCAGCATTCCAGCTATCAGAGCCACGGGAGTCTTGGCCTCCCTCCCTCTACACACCTGTGCTTCTGGGGAGAGACTTGCTGGTTGGCCTGGGCAGGCAGGGCGCTCAGCAAACACTGCAGATGGGACTGAGCCAAACAGGTGGGCCCAGCCACCTTCCTGCCGGCTACTCTGATGCCGGCCTTGGCCACGCTGGCCAGGATACATGTACAGGACACATGTAAAGTTCTTAGTAACTAAACCCAGATGCATCTCTGACCCACTCCCTGACTAACATGTGGGCTTGGACTATCCATGTTTTTAATGACCTGGGCTCATTCTTCAACCAGCAGTACCCAAACATGGCCACACATCCTTTTTGCTATTGCTTCTCGGAAGGATGGGTTTACTCAGATGGGAACACCTGCATTGGATCTCCTGACCCAGCAGTAGTACCTGGGAAGCTGTCTACCCTTGAGTCTAACCTTCCTCATGTGGAAAGAAGTGGGGTTGTTGTGCTCCACCCCTGGCTGGGGGTGCAAGAAATAAGGGACGAGTGCAAGGGCCCCCCACAGCGCTGGGCCCAGCATCATTGCTACTGGTCTTGCTCCCAGGTGAGGTGAGCCTGCCTCTCCTGCTACCCTGGAGGCTGCAAAGCTCTCCCTTCTCACAGGACACACTTCTTTGGGAAAGCTCCCCAGGCTGCTGTGGGTAAAAAGAGCCCAGGAGGATGCTTAAAACCTGGAGGTACCCCCTGTAGTGCAGCGGGTTAAAGCATAGCACTGAGAATCTAAAGCCACTTCCGCATGAGTTCGATTCCCGCCTGCCCTGGAGATGACCACATGGCGTGGCAGACCTCTCCTGACCCGCCCGCTGCTCCCCTCAGCAGTGGACTTCCTCGATCTGCCTGTTCTGCTCCCTGCTCTGTCTCTGGGGAAGCCTCTCACCGCACCTGCACCTCTGGCCTGTACCCCAGTTCTATATGCATAAATAAATAAATCTTATAGTAATTAAAAAAAAATTGCACCTGGAGGTGCAAATCTACCCTCTAGTGTGGCTAAGGGTGGGAGGAGGGCATTGTGGGACAGGGCCCAGGAGACAGGAAGGCCCCTGGAGTGAGACAGACCCCCTGGAAATGGACAGGCCCCCCTGGAGCTACATAGGCCCCCTGCACATGGACAGGCCCCCTGCGGGCCAGCACTTACGAGATGGCCTCAATCATGTCCAAGCCCATCTCCACGCAGCAGTGGGCGTGGTCAGCCCTCGCTTCAGGCAGCCCTGAGACGCAGTAGTAACAATCCCCCAGGATCTTAATACGTAAACAGTGATTCTCCTGGAAAGCAAATTAATTTTAAAAAATTAAAAATAGTAGGGAAGAGAAGTGGGAGGGCAGCAAATGGGAAGCAAACAGATTCACCCCATGCCTGGAATAACTTGCCTTTTAGGGCAGTGTGCTCAATCCAGTGCCGGGGAGGATGCTCGGCCCTAGCCCAGGACAGGCTTATCAAGGGGGAGAGGGGGGAGATGACCAAGCGGCCTTCAGAGGGGCATTCCAGCCCTCCAGCTCAGGAACTCGCTTCAGCCATGGCTGAGGCCCAGCGAGGATCTAGCTGGTGGGCTAAGGCAGCAGCAGAGGAGCCTCGTGGGTCTGAGGGAGGCCTGAGCCAGCCCAGCGGTCTGCCCACCCTTCCCCCGAGCTGCTGATTCTTGGTCTGAGGGTCAGGGATCAGTTTTCTGATTCTCCTTTCACAAAACGACTGAGGCAGAAATGAGATTTGGCCACCACAAGTTCACCTGACCCGGTGCCTATCTGAGATTTTAGGAGAGTTCTAGACCAGCCAGCAGAGTGCCCAGTGCCCACCAATGCCCACAGAGCCGGAGTGCCAGCCGCCGCGACTCTGTAATGGAGCAGTGGACTTCTCAGCGGGCCCAGCTGAGGGGGAATGTCGCTCAGCCCCAACTCCACACGGTCCTACTCTGCCTTCCAGGAGTCACTTCTGGAAGCTGGGACTTGGGCGCCTGGGCTCACCTTCCAGGCCCATCCCAGGGCCCTTCACCTCACCTGGACTCAGTGATTAAAGACACAGTTTGGGAGATGGGAGGCCTGCCAATTAATGTCCTCAGTAGCGCCAGCCCCTCTGATCTGATTCCTGTGCGAGAGCAAAGGGGAACACCCCTGGTGTTGGGGTACACTGCAGTAAGTGGCCCTCTGCAAAGGCACCGTGTCACTCCAAGCCACAAATGCAGGGACACATGACAGAGGTGGAAAAGGGCCTCACGGACAAACGTGTCGTGGCCCCCTGCCAGGGGTGGCACTTCCAGTGTGCCTCGGCGTTGATGAGTTCTCATTCTGGAAGCCTCTAGGGAGGGCAATGGCTGTGAATTTTAATCCTACTTGAGATGTAAGCTCATTTTCTTACTACTCCCGTCAGCCTCTACAAGAAAGTGTCTCCAAGACACTCCAGTGACCCCACCAAACAGGACTCCTCAGCGGTCTGGACAGTGGGACCTGCAGGCCTCACTTCCCTCCCAACAGTGGAAGCTCCCTACCTCCCCCCGCCTCCCCCCCATCCTATGCAGGCACCTTCAGCTGGGGCCACACAAGGCATAAGGACCAGCCCCAGTATGTGAGGCCCTCCCTGCCCTTACCAGCTCCCACAGCTGACTCTCCCAGCAGGGCACATGCTGGCACAGTTCCTGGGGTGCAGCTGGCCCTTGACCATAGCACCCCTCTATCAGCCAGCCCAGATCAGGCAGCCTTTGGGCCTGGCTAGGCCCGAAGAAAAGGGCAGGGTGACTTACCGCAGCCAGTTTATCGAAGCGGGCAAAGAGCTCATTGAGGGTCATGACCAGCTCCTGGGCAGTGCACTGGGACGCCAGGCTGGTGAAGCCCTCGATGTCCGCAAACAGGATGCTGGGGACACAGGTGGAGAAAGACCCCATGAGAGAGGGAGATCCAGGGCCCACCCTCGGACCTGGGAGAGCAGGTCGGGAGGAGTCCTGGGGCAACTAAATGTTGCTTGGGCGCAAGGGGGGTTAAGAGCACCAGCACTGAGCCCTCCCTGGTGGCGCAGCGGGTTAAAGCACTGCACTGAGAAGCTTAAGCCACTTCCGCATGAGTTCGATCCCCGCCTGCCCCAGAGGTGACCCACATGGCACGGCAGACCTCTCCTGACCCGCCCGCTGCTCCCCTCAGCAGTGTACTTCGTCGATCTGCCTGTTCTGCTCCCCACTCTGTCTCTGGTAAAGCCTCTCGCCACCCCTGAGCCTCTGGCCTGTACCCCAGTTCTGTATGTACAAATAAATAAATCTTTAAAAAAAAAGAGCACCAGCACTGGAAACCCAGTGCTGACTGGGAACACCCTCCCGGTCCTCTTCTATCGCCCGCCCGCCCAGGAGGAAAGGAGGGTAGATCCTGGGAGCGCCTGACCCCCCATTCTCAGTTGCCTCCAGGACCTGCCCATTAGATGCTGAGATGTCGCTGCAAGGAAGCTGGACCTGTGGAGGGGTGCAGGAGGGGGGTCGTTGATTCACCAGCTCTGAGAAGCGGTTCAGGTTAGAATGGCTGCTGTACAGAGATCTCAATTCCCAGGCCCATTCACAGGGGAATCCCACCCCAAGCTCCCCCTCCCCATCGCCAGGCTGCTGTACAGAGATCTCAATTCCCAGGCCCATTCACAGGGGAATCCCACCCCAAGCTCCCCCTCCCCATCGCCAGGCTGCTGTACAGAGATCTCAATTCCCAGGCCCATTCACAGGGGAATCCCACCCCAAGCTCCCCCTCCCCATCGCCAGGTGTCTCTGGTTGGAACAGACTGAAGGAGGCTCAGGGAGGAGAGAGAAAGCCATAGCCAGGCCTCTCAGGAGTCCCCAGCTTGTCCCTGCCGGCCACTCTGTCCAGCAGATCCCCCAGGGGCACCATCAAATGCATCATCTGCCCTGTATGACTCATACTGGATTTTTTTTGTTTTTATTCCTTTCTGTGTCTTATGTTCCTGAGACTGAAAATACCTTCCTTTCCTTTCAGAGCTGACTACCAGAGGTGAAGCCAGAATTCTCATGTACTCGGAGCTGAACTGGGAGTCTCCAACATGTCACCTCACCACGGGTCCTGCCACAGCCCTGATCCAGCACCGGCGTCTGAGACGAGCAGGTCGAGCCTGCGGCAAGAGCTGGGAGACAGCGACGTGGACGGGCCTGTGTGTGTCCCACCTTAATTGAAAATGTAGAACTGACCATATTCTGCATCTGTCTTCTCCTTCAGAGGTTTGACACCCAGGGCCTTCCTGACAGGGGGCCTGCCCCTCCCAGGCCTGCCAGTTCCCAGAGAGTCAGCAATCCCCTTGGCTCCTGGAACACTGACCCCCAGCCCTCACTCCCCAGAGATTCACCCCAGGGACAGAGACTGGGAAGCTTAGGATAGCACCCCACGCCCAGAATCCACAGAAACTATTCAGACTAAGTAACTCAAAGCCTGTCCACCTGTTGCTTCCTGCAGAAACCACAGTACAAGCTCTTGCTCATCTTTTCCTCCTGATTCTGCCTCCTGCCTGTCCCTGGTGCCACCTGTGGTCCCCACCCAACCCCACAGCCTGGTGCCCTCTCCTCTAGGGAGCCGTAAGAAAAAGATCTTTTCAATGGCAGTCGCATTCTCCTCTGTAGGCCTCCCCATACTGGATAATAACAGTCCTGCATTTTCGAACACTTGGACACTGTTCTATGCACTTTAGCAATACTGACTCACTTGCCATCATCACCGCCCTGTGAGGTGAGAAAACTGAGGCTCAGAAAAGTTGAGCCAGTTGCCCAGCCTGGGCCCACAATCCAAGAACTGAATCAATAAAATTGCTACTACCTGATGGTCCCCGGTCATCTTAGGTGAATCAAAGCCAAGACAATGGCAGGAGGAAACCAGTGAATGGGAGAAGTGGGGACTCAGGGGGTAGGTGAGGTGCAGAGGAACCGACCCTGTCTTGTCAGGTCCCTGGTCTCCACACTGCTCCAGGGTAGCCAGGACCCGCGGCTCCACGGCTCCTCAGGGACTCAGAAGATGAAAGCAGTCGGGACTCTCCATACGCTTTGATGCCTGCGTCTGACACAACGGACAGCCCGGGGGTCTGCGTGGGCAGCCAGCGTGCCGTGAGAGGAGCCAGAGCGGGAGCTGCCCACTCCAGATGCGGGCACGGCTCCCTCCCAGAAGGCGGCACTCCTGGCCCACCTCCACTTCCCCGCTCCACTGTAAGGACCAGACGGGATCTACTGGTCTCTTTAAAGCCCCCAAGACACCCCTGGTCTGGAAATTCTTTAACTCTCGGGAGTCCATCAAGGGAGGCTGGAATCTGGATCAGCCGCACCGGAGTCCAGGAACTCGCACAGAGACGGTCAGCGTGGCTGGCCGCAGTGCTGCTGATGCAGGGCCCGAGGCAACAGGCCTAAGGACGGCTCCCGCTGGGTCTGAGACGGCACAGCCCAAGCCTAGCTGGGGGGGATTTCCTCCCTGGCAAGGAAGACCTCGGGCCTGGCCAAGGCAACCCAGAGCTCTGAGTCCAGGAGCTGGTGGGGCGAGCGAACGTACCGCCCCGAGAGACATGAGGACACGTGTGTGGCACTGCCGAGCTTCCCCAGCCACTACGCCGGGACGTGAGGGGACTTGAGAGGCCCCGCCTGCATTGCCCTTCCCTGGTGACCCGGCCGGGCTGTGCAGAACACCTTCTCCGCTGCCACCTCCCCATGCCAGGTCAGTAGGGCTTAGACCTGGTGTCTGTCAGAGTCACCTGAGTTTTTATAAGGAGGGTCCCAGAGCCCACTCCGCCAGAGCCTCTGACTCAACTGGCCTGGGGTGGGGCTCAGCTATTGCCTGTTTCTGTTCTCCTTTATTCTGTTAAAGCTCCCCTGGTGATTCTAATGTGCAGTCAGGGTTGAGAAGTACTGTACTAGCTTAAATGTCACCTTCTCAAAGAGCTTCCACCAGCCTATTTAACTTTATAATCCCTTGATATATTTATCTCCCTTCTCGACTGCATTTTTCTCCATTGCATTTTCACCATTCGATATGTAATTTATTATTATGCTTTTATCAGCCTCTCCCCACTAGAATGCAAACTCCTGGGTGGGGGGGGGGTTGACTCTTATTCGCCACTACACACACACACACACACACACACACACACACACGATTTGGCAAAACTTGAAGCCGAGTGACTGAATGAATATCTACTTCACCCTCTGCTCCATATACCCGGCACAATACCATATAGTAGGGATCTGTATTAGTTTTCTGTAGCTGCAATAACAAACAGACATTTATTCTCTCACTGTTCTGGAGAAAGGAAGCCCAACATCAGCGTGTTGGCAGGACCAGGCTTTCCTTGGAGACTCTGGTCCCTGCTTCCGTAGGTTCCTCTGGCGGCTGTCAACTCTGGCTTGAGGCACACCACCCCTGTCTCTGCCTCTGTCTTCACATGACAACCTCCCTGGGTGTGTCCTCACGTGGCACTTTCCTCTTCCTATAAGGACACCACTTACATTGGATTGGGACCCACCCTACTCCAGCAAGACCTCACCTGACCTTGATTTTATCCACAAAGACTGCCTTTCCAAACAGGGTCACATTCATGAGTACCAGGAGTTAGGGCACCAACAACTCTTGTAGGGGAACACAATTCTACCCACAACAGTGCCTGAGATGCATTTTGTTGCAAGGAAGAGAATATTCAAAGCAAGTAAGGTGCAGGACCAGTAACTCCGGTAGCTCCCCTTTCCACACCACAGGGCTTCGGAGGGGTCCAGTCCTGTCATCTGAGCTCAGAGAACCCCAGGCCTCAGGCCCAGCAAATATTCAAGGCATGAGTAGTGCTATGAATCCAGGCCACCAGATGGGGGTGGGGGGGGGGCAGGGCGGGGGAGCCTCCCGGTCAATGCTAGGCAGCGTAGGGGCAACAGGCACTGGGGTGTGGGCGTTCCAGGTAGCTCGGAAAACTGGACCCTCCGTCCAGTCTCCTGGGATCTATCTTCCTTTGCCACCTGTCTGGGTTCTCAACAGCTGCTGAGGAATCAGGGAGAGTAAGTTGCTGACTCCCTTTGACGGTGCCACAGAGCAACTGGCCAGGCAAGGAGGGGTGGCTCAGAGCAGGGCTCTAACTGGAGCACAAGCTCAGACAGGGTCTCGAGGACCCAGCGCTGAGCCCTGCGGCCTCTCCTGTATGTTCACGGCAACTCTGCCACTGCCACATGTCCCCCACCTCCTGGCTGGGGCAGTCACACTGCTGCCTGGGGGTCGGATGCTGCGTAGTGACTGTCACTTTTGGAGGCTCCTGTTTTAGGTCTATCCGAAGGCAGACTGTTCAGTGGGCCAGAACTTTCTGATCCATTCCTTGGTAATTCTGAAGTCCATTTTACGGCCCAGCTCTGGGCCCAGACACGCAGTCAGGTGCTAATTCCTCCATTAGCTCGCACTTGAGAGCTGGTCTTGGCAAGGCGACCAGGCCCTCAGCGCACACAGCGGCTGGGCACGGCCCTCTCCGGCTTGTGCTAATTGCCTGCCATCCATCACTCAGGTTCCTACACTGTGCTCAGAGGCGAGAGCAGGGAGGCACTTCATCCCAATTACCACAATAGGCCCTTCAGCTCTGATCGCAGCTCCTGCTCTGCTTTACCACACGCGTTTTTGGTTAAATGCCTTTCCTCATTTAACCTCCCTCTCACCGCCAGCAGGCCCTGGGACTTGAAGTTGTTGATGCCTGACTCTGCTCCTGCACAGAGGCGCATCCTGCACAGAGGCGCATCCGACACATCTCGAATACCCAGGAGCTGAGTTTCTCAAGCTGGCGGTGCTGAGGGCCTGCTCGTCCTAGCTCCTGCTCCCTCAGCACCGCAGCGATGCGAACTCAAGAAATGCCAAGAGCAGGCATCTGT